CCCAATATAAAGCAGCTCCTGGCGCTGGGGCAGCACCAGGCAGCCATCCGTGCCAAGCCCCTCCGGTCCGCCCTGAGGCAGGCAGCGCTTTGTAACTCCACCATTCGCAGCCCCTCCAAGAGCAGCAAAACTCAGGGAACAAAGAGAACCGAGAGCCGGGGTGGCCAGAGACCCCTCTGCCTTTCACCAGCCCAGGGACTGGGCTGGCAAGTCGGATGTCCTCTGCTGCAGCTGCCTCCCGAAAAGCTCACTGGTGGCAACCTCAACCTCGCCGAGCTGGGTCGGTCCCTGCAGACCAGGGATGGAGCTTTTGTGCCGAGAGAATAAAAGTGCCAAGAGACAAGACCTCCTGGAGCACACCTGGCTGAGGGTTTCGGTGCAGGACAGCGGTCACCAGTCCTGCTGGGACGCACAGCGCTTAGGGACAGGGGTGCCACCAACACACAGTGCTCGACTCCAGTGTCACTGGCTGCAGGGATGGGGATGGGCAGCGCGCCCTGAGCACCAGAAGGGACCGAGAGCCGTTCCTGGTGTGCCCAGTGTCATGGCTGATGAAGGAAGGTCTCCCGGGTCCACTGGCTGCTCCACACGGTCAATGAGATCACCAGGCCCCCCCCCAGGTCGGACCTGTTTCAGATTCTTCTGGAATTTGGGAACAGGTTCCAATGCTGGGGTGGAGGGACAGGCATGCAGAATAGAAACCACATTTTTTCCAGAGGAAACTGCAGCTAAAAATTAACATCTCTGAAAAATAAAGCTAATTTTGCGAAGTTGCTCAGTCTCCCAGCCAGCCACAAACTTGGGGCAGGGCAGGGGCTGCCCGGGAGCCTGGAGCTTGGCCAGCAGCTCTGCCCTGGCTGCACTCAGCCTTGTGACCCCAAATCCCTCACATCACACGGGCTGGTTTGCGAGGACGTTTTCAGCTCCCAGCCCTTCCATCAGACCCCCTTTCCTCTCGGATCTCTTCATGTCTCCAGATGGGAGGCAGCAGGCGCATTCTTATTTATCTCAGATGAATTAAGGTCAGACCACCCATTTGTTTTTTTGCAAGACAGGAACTTTTGCAAAGGGGGCCATGTTGCAGTGCAGCTGGAGCATATTCCGGGCTGTTCCTGCGTCAGTAGCTCTGCACTCAACTGCGCTGCAAACTCTGCAAACACCCAAAAAAGCAGCCCCGTGCCATGCCCAGTGCAACCCAAGGGGATGTGGGGCTGCCACAGGTGCCACAGCCACGGGGCCAGGAGGATGCTCCATGCCGCGGGCTCTGGCACGGCAGCTCGTGTCCTGCCCCATCTCTCCAGCTGACGTGGGGAGTCAGGAGAAGTTCACTTTGCCGGGGCTCTCACCAGCGCGGGGCTCGATGGTACGTCGCGGCTGAGCACTCCTCCGAGGCAGGTTTGGCAGCATGCGCCGGGCTTGGCTGAGCCGCCTTCTCCTGTGGTTCACAGCAGTGTCAACCCCGCAGGGTCCCGGAGGTGGGGTGGGAGCGGCATGTTCCAGCCAAAAGGGTGGGAGGGGGATGGAGCGTGCCCCGGCCTGTGGCAGTAACCCCCCTCGCATCCTTTCGGAGCCTCCCTCCCGCAGCGGCTCCGTGCTTCTCCCCACCCTGGCCAGGAATCCTGCGTCGGCCCTGCCGGGATGGCTCCAGGTGTGGGGAGAGCTGCTGCCAGCCTCCGGGCTGGAGCACAGCCCCCTTCGTGACGGCAGAGCCGGTGAACATGCTCCATCACTGCTGAAAAATGCCAGATTTCGGGGACAACATCCGCTCTCTGAACCGCAGCCAAAGCAACCTGGGGTGAATCATGGCCGGGCTGGAGCCGGGCTTGCTCAACGGGACGTGGCTGCGCAGCCACAGGCTTTGAAGGCAATGAAAGGCTCACGCACTTGTTTTTCTGATTCAGGGAGGTTTCCTCGGGCCCGCGAGCTGTTCACAGCACACGCAGTGCAGCCAGATTGTCATCTGCAACCACTTCTGGCGGCACCATGAGCGAGAGCAGCGCGCCAGGGCTGCA